CGGCCCTCTGCGGCCCAAAGTTAAAAACTGTTGTTCTTTTGAGGCCCTCAAGGTGGCGCTCAGAATCTCTGCAGTAGACAATACTGTAATTAGCCACATTTTGTAGCCTTTATGAACACACGGCAGCAGAAATGAACTTACCAGGGATCCGAATGAAGGACCAGCCATGACGAGGCTCCAGGGCCATCACCCCCCCGGGGCTTTGAGGGTAGAAGGCGTTGGCCCTCGCGCACCAATCCGAGGCCAGTTCAGGCGAGCCGTACAGAAAGCACTGCTTGTACATCGCCCCCCCGCCGCTGCGCGTCACCCGCCACTCGTACTCAGCGCTCCTGTCGGCGCAGTAACGCTCCATGGGAACTGCCGTCACCTAGGAAACCAAAGATTTTAAAAGAACACACCACAACGGAATGCTGAACAGGGTTTGTCATTTTGCCTTAAAAATAGAATCAGATTAAGTCAGCCGACCTGTAAAACACCTGCTTTAAATCTGGTACAACAAATGAGAGAGCTGCAGGTGGGTTTCACCGAGTCAGCAGGTTCTGCATCTACGTGTGTGTGCGTGTGTGGGGGGTCAGGCGAGAGGAAGTTTAACAAACAACCTGTGTAAAAACCTCTTATTTGGAGGCTCTGTTTGTTCTGAGTGAGCCTGACACAGATAARACCATCTCATTGTTCAAACCAACAAAAGTTAAGCTCCTGCTTCCACGACCACCCAAGCCTGTTTCAACGCCGACTGTCCACACAAACACGGGGGTGGGGGGACTGACTCCCCCCAGAACGTGTCGCGCACTCACCTTGGGCGTGGCGGCCAACAGGAACTTGGGTGGCAGGACGCGCTGACAGGGCCGGAGCACAGAGGTGGCGGTGCTTCTGCTGTGGATCCTTACGTCGGCRTGAGCCAACATTCCAGGTCTGGAGGCTGTGAACACCAAATCCTGAAATACACACACACAAACTTATGTTGTTTTGTTAATGTTTAAACTAGCAAAATATCTCTTGCTTAATATAGACGCTTTATTGTCTAAAGCCCAAATCAGTTTTCCAGCTATTAAGCTAAACTTTGACGTGGCGATAGCTGAGCCTCGGCCCCTAACAYGTACTCTGAGCACAATACAATGTTCTATCTCTTATTAAAAACATTGACATTAATGGTTGGTCACAAAATATTTCATGAACCCATTGAGGATTTCACTAAAATTTTTCCAAAAGTGCGTCCAAATTCAGGCGCTGCATCTTTCGAAGGCCGATTACATCACAGCGATGTCCTAATTCGAGGACACATTCGTGGACCGCTAGTCTCCTCTAATTGCGACTCACAAATGCATCTTTTTCCCCTAATTTGAGGGACGTGTTCGGTGGATCCCACTTGGACCACCCTATCCCGTGACGCATTGCGGGCCGCCTGGGAGATCATTTTGCTTGTAACGGTGAACGAAGCGAGAAACAGAGCTTGACAGGAGCAGTTTGAAATTAAGATCCGGTGAAAGTTTAAAGCAGTTGTGTTGTTAGGCTTCTTTCATTTGCAAAGACATGATTGTCATAAAGGAGCTGGCCAGTCCCTTAGTTCTTCATGTATTGCCCTTAAGCTAATTTTGCTAATAATATTATAACAATACTATATTAATATTTTTGCTAATTGTGTTTGTGTTGTTTCTGGCAACAGGACATACAGGGTAAGGGGCAGAAATAAAGCTAAAAGCTTTCCGTTCAAAATTCACCGCCACTTCCTTCTGGTCTTTGCGGTGGACGAATGACCCGGCCCATGTAGACTGGATAGGCCAGGTCCTTCAAAGGACGCAGCCCCTGAATTTGGACACAACCAAAAACGCGACGTCTGTTTGGAGTCAGCGCCATTCAAGATGGTCGCCACAGCTGTGCCACTTTAGCTAACAGAGAATTTGCTGAAACTTTGACAAATTTATAATTATCGAGGTACATTTTGAGTCATTCATCCTCCAANTCACAGCGATGTCCTAATTCGAGGACACATTCGTGGACCGCTAGTCTCCTCTAATTGCGACTCACAAATGCATCTTTTTCCCCTAATTTGAGGGACGTGTTCGGTGGATCCCACTTGGACCACCCTATCCCGTGACGCATTGCGGGCCGCCTGGGAGATCATTTTGCTTGTAACGGTGAACGAAGCGAGAAACAGAGCTTGACAGGAGCAGTTTGAAATTAAGATCCGGTGAAAGTTTAAAGCAGTTGTGTTGTTAGGCTTCTTTCATTTGCAAAGACATGATTGTCATAAAGGAGCTGGCCAGTCCCTTAGTTCTTCATGTATTGCCCTTAAGCTAATTTTGCTAATAATATTATAACAATACTATATTAATATTTTTGCTAATTGTGTTTGTGTTGTTTCTGGCAACAGGACATACAGGGTAAGGGGCAGAAATAAAGCTAAAAGCTTTCCGTTCAAAATTCACCGCCACTTCCTTCTGGTCTTTGCGGTGGACGAATGACCCGGCCCATGTAGACTGGATAGGCCAGGTCCTTCAAAGGACGCAGCCCCTGAATTTGGACACAACCAAAAACGCGACGTCTGTTTGGAGTCAGCGCCATTCAAGATGGYCGCCACAGCTGTGCCACTTTAGCTAACAGAGAATTTGCTGAAACTTTGACAAATTTATAATTATCGAGGTACATTTTGAGTCATTCATCCTCCAAAACAGACCACATGAGACTGTGTAAGATRGAGTTTCTGTGGTTTGACTAAACTGGCTACAACTCGGGACAATATCCTGAGCATTCCGTCAAAACARTGATAGGGCTTTAAAAATGATTTTAAATATCTGGTTATTTAAACTACGATTTAAGTTGTCAGAGTAAAAATTTGTCCGTTAATCAGATTGTTTTATATTTTGGCAAAAACTGGTTTGAACCAAATTTAGATTTTGTGGTTAAAAGTTATAGCTGACGAGATGATGAGTGATCCAAGAATAATACTAGGGCAGATTGGAGACGCTGAAGTCGTGTTTGGTGTCAGCRTGGTTACACAGCGCCATCTAAAGGCAGGATAAAAAAACAAAAACTGCTTCCCCACAAAAAAATAAWAWWAAAAAAACCACTCAAGGGTTTAGGAACAGCTGTGTGGTCTCAACAGGACTACCAGGAAGGCTGAATGTAATATTGACCACAATGTCAATCATTCAGTCAGAAAGTGAGGGGGGAAATGAGGAGATGCTAAAAGAAGAACGCAAACTTCTGAACTCATATTTGCTCCTTAGATGTTTCTGCTCGTTTCTCGCTGCCCACTGAGAGGGGGGAACGTGAGGCAGCTGCACAATTCAAGAATGATGAGGCCAGCAGAGGAAGAGGAGGATGGAATTACCCCTGAGCCATTTCCAAACCAACACGCTGTGGAAGGACTGATGGGAGGCCCAAAATCTGGCCACAATTAACTGTAAGCTGGCTAAAACCTTGATCAGATGTGTTTGGAATGCTTTTAGGCCAATTACTGACATTTTGTCGTGTCCGTTTATTTAAAATAGCACCTACACGTGGTTGCTGTTCACAGTAGGGCTGTGTATTGGCAAGAATTTGACGATACGATACATATCAGGACAGAGGGGTCACGATACGATATATCCCGATATATTGCGATACTATAAGCAATGCGATATATTGCGATTTTTTTTTGTCCAAACATTTTATTAAATAAAAACCTCTTACTGGTAAAAAATGAAAAATGAAAGCCCAAAGTTCATTGTCTCAGAAAATACTAATATTACATAGACATACTTTTGATACATTTAGGTGTGTTCTGCTTTGTATGTATTTTATTTTATTTGTTTCATATTTCTTATTTTGTCCATGTTTTCAATTATTAGACTAAATTTGACAATAAATA